AAATCCCTAACCCTAGATTTACAAAATGGGAAGAGAGAGATATTCAGGCACGTACAAATAGAGAGGGAGAAAGAGGTTGAGAAAGAGGAGTATACCTCAGCGGCAAGGTATTCAAGGACCGCGGCGAGGTAGACCGGAGCTCCAGCACCGACTCGCTCGGCGTACTTTCCTGCCTTCAAGAACCGAGCGATACGACCGACCGGGAATTGCAGACCGGCCTTGCTCGACCGAGAAGTGGCCTTTTTCGCGGCCCCGGATCCTATAGCCTTGCCTCGACCCGCCATTGATGGACCTCCAGGAACAGATTAGAGAGAGAGAGAGAGAGAGAGAGAGAATGAAAAACAGGAAAAGATTTAGAAGCAATGGAGAGAAACAAAGTGTTTGGTGCTACGGAGCAGAACTGAGACCGGTTTTGGGTATTTATAGTCGCTGGGATTTGAATCTGAGCCAATGGGCTGAAGTACGCGGATCGAGATCAACAGCCGTTGATTAAAATGAGAAGGGACGGTCGAGATTGGTTGATTGAAGTTTGTAACTTTTTGTTCGGTTAGATTTGGTGAAGTGACGAAACTAACCTTGTCTTTTCTGTTCATTCATGTTGACTTGATTTTGGACAATTAATTATTTTGACTTGGGTTTGTATGCTTTGCCATTGGCCCCCCTGGTGCTTGCATAATTGCATAAATGCACTTCTCCTTTGAAAATGTTACAAATTACAATGGAGAGTGCCACCCATTTTTCATGGAAAGGGGCGGTTACTGTTTACTTGAATAGTATCGCTTTAGCAATTTTTTTTCTTTTTTTTCACCCATTGTTATGGCAATCCAAGGGTAATTACTACTCACATAGAATTAATTTTATTTATACATATGAGATTAATAAATAAAAAATTATTAGGTATTTATAATTTAAAAAAAATTCTGAATTCTTTTATATTTTTTCCAATTTTTTTCTTCGCTGGCGTGAGCGTCCTCAGGCAACACACAACACACATTGGTAAGTAAACGCACAATACAAATCTGGTTTGCTTTGCATTCATGCTCCAAGAGCATGTCCAGTGGGAGCCAAATGGCCCAGGCCATGGCTGTTTTCAGGCTCAAACTAGAAAATGGGTTTCTAATGAAAGTAGATGGCCTAGGCTATTTGGAGCCCAAGCTCCATGAAGGGCAATTCCAGCCCAAACCCACGCTCGGCCCAGTTATGGAGCCCACACACAAGTGGAAAGAGGAAAAAAAAGTGGGAGCCAAATGGCCCAGGCCATGGCTGTTTTCAGGCTCAAACTAGAAAATGGGTTTCTAATGAAAGTAGATAGCCTAGGCTATTTGGAGCCCATGCTCCATGAAGGGCAATTCCAGCCCAAACCCACGCTCGGCCCAGTTATGGAGCCCACACACAAGTGGAAAGAGGAAAAAAAAAAAAAAAAAAGCTTCTGACAGCACTCAATTTTGCTGTTTCTATTATTCACACAATTTTAGTTTTCACAAGCTCATCATTTTTAATATTGTGAAATGTATATGGCATGTCAATTTGATAGTCTCATTCGTCTAAACTACAAAGGTACCATGACAGGGGTTATAACTTGAGTTGAGATCACTGGTATGCAAATCAAAGTCTTTTTTCATTAAACTAGACTTTGTTGGCCAACATGTGAGTATTTTTAAAAAATGATTCATTTGTTGTGATGGAGAAATTTAAAATTTATTTATTTGTTGTAATGGCTTCCCCCGTAGTGGTTCTACTGATATGATGACAAGAAATGTTGGAGGACACCAAAAATTATGTTGGACATAATGCAAGACCAACCTTATGTTTATGTTACATAACTAGTACTAGGTGGACTAGAGGAGGGAGAGCAAAGAAATGCAAGACCAACCTTGTAGCTTGTTTGTGCAAAAATCCTCACGGGAGAATATTCGCTTTATGATTCTTTAACATTTGATCTTCCTTCTCTCTCTTCCTTGATTCTTGTAAAAAATACCAAAATAAATAGACCACACCTGGGGTGTTGGCCAAAAGCCCTCCGATGCCTAAGTTAGTTTGATTGAATCTAGGTGAAACAATAGCTAAAAAAGGTATGGAGATTTCTCTAGGGTGAGAACCAGGTGACTGGCGCCGTGTGTGGTGGCCGGAGCCATGTGGAGAAAATATGGAGAGTGGAGAGTGAGAGAGTTTCAGGTATTTTTCTTGGATTTTAAAAGTAGGTTTAGATGTATGTAGATTTTTTGAAGTACCTTGAATGATGAATGAAGTCATCTATTTATAGGAGCCTCGGGGCTAGGGTTTCATAACTCTTATTAGAAGGAGTATAATATCTTATAATTAAGCTATTATCCCTATTAATTAATTGACCAAATAAATTGATTTAATTAATTAATTTAAGAGATAATCTTCTTTTTCACGTGGCGTGCTATGATTGGAAACGAATTTGCTCCCGCATAGCCCTAATCATCTAACCAATTTGCATTTCATATCACCAACTTTTGTTGCGTGATTTTACTAATAAAAGTCCACAAAAAGAAAAGATGAAAAATTGTTCCCATTTTGTTTCCTAGGCTAGGAGTAGGAGATATTCTGTTTCCTAGGTAACTGCTTTGCTTAGAAAAAAGATTTGCTTTTTGGGCTAACATATAGATGGTTTATGAGTTCATGTTCATCATTATTGTGCCACTAGCACCTTAATGGGGCCTATAAGTCCACTAGCACCTTAATGGGGCCTATAAGTCCAGGTGACCAATGGTGGATCCACCTAAGGCCCAGTGAAGGCTACTGCCCCTAATTACCTTTCTTCTATCCATAAAGTCCTTAGAATCTCCATTGAAGCTCTGCTTAAGTATGCTGCAATGGGGGCAAGGTGTCTGATAAAAGTATGCTGCAATGGGGGCAAGGTGTCTGATAAAAGTCTTATGATGGAGGGGCAAAGTTGACATACCAAAACGAGGTCGTTTTGGGTTGTCACTTAAATCAACCAAAATTACTAACACTCAATAATCTCATCTCCAAGTCGTTTTAGCTTCTTCTCCTTGTTACTTCACCATTTTATGACTGGAAAATGTTACTAAAACACCCAAAATTTCCTAAAATTTTGTTGGCTCTTCTTCTTGTTGTTATAATTCATTCATGTTTGAAGTGGATTGAGATTTGTACTTTTTAGTTCTATTTTGGAATCTCCAGTATTCATGTTACCTAGAAATTTTTGTTGTCTGCTTTAGGCATGAATTTTATACATTTTTCAAGTTTGTTAGTGATTTGAACTACTACATTTTGCTTCCAACAACAACAATTTATGGATCCGCCACTGCAGGTGACCCAAGGGTAGTTGAGCTACAAAATGTCTCAATTTTGAAGGGAGCCTGTAGACCATAAGAGCAATTCCACCCCTCCCCTTTTGTCATGGCAAAAGGGGCCTAGGCTCTAAAAACAACCCCTACAAAGGAAAAGTTGTCATGTCAAGAAGTGGGCCCACCAAACTGAGCAAGCCTGAAGGTAAGACTTGCCTGGGCAAGCTGATGTCAGCGTGACATAAACAGTCAATTTAAATAACAAAAAATAACTTATTTGAGGGACATCCTTGTAGAGTCCACTTTGTATTGTATTTCACTAATCCAAACTGTCTATTTTGTAGATATTCATTCAAAGATCATCTTCACAAAAAATCCAAACCCTCTATTTTGTATATATATATACACACGCGCGGGATAATGCACTGCATGCTTGCTAGGTACTAGTGTCTACTAGTGCAACTTTGTGCACGGTAGCTTGAGTTTTTTGTTGTAGTATGGTTTAATCATGTAATATTATTGACTTTCAGTTTTGGCTGATGGCCCCTCTTCACACGAGGAGGAATTCGGTTTTCAAAGCTGAATTAAATAGTTGAAGAAGATGAGTGGTGAAAGCTAATAATGATATTTGTCTTTGCGAAAACCCAAAGTTACCAAGAAAAACACTTGTTTTTGAAGTTTGGGTTTCATTAATGCTTCTTACAAACCCAAGGATCAAATCAAGTTTAGGTTTCCAATTTACCAATAATGATCAAGTTTAGGTTCCACTTTCCAAGAAGAAAAAAGGTTTGGCTTCCAAGATCATCGGTTTTCATCTTCTTTTATTTTTGTTGGTGCATTTTGTCTCCCCTCCTTCTGCTGTTAGTTTCTTTGATTCCCACAGCTGGAGAATTGGTTTTTTTTCTTCATAATTTAGAATGGTCCATTTGGAACAAGAGCATTCTGGTTTTGTATATTTTTAAGTTGACAACTTGCCCTTATGTTTTCCATCACCACCTACACTTGCTTAAAAATTCGCTGTCATTAATTTCACAAGTCTAGAAAGCCTAAAATTGAAGGATGTTACTAATTACAAAAAACCTTAAGTTCCATTCCATAAAATACTAGAATCGTCCTACACTCATTCTATATAGTCTATTTCAAGTCATAGATATCATTGAGTGAATCTGCCTACACTAGAAATGATATTGGCACCTTGTACTTCGAAAATCATCATAAATCCAATTCAATTTAATTGGCCCCAAAATTTAAAGTTTTTACAGATAACACACATAGGCTCACGTAGTAAATTTATACCTTAAGATTTACTTATTAGAATTAGGCGTGGACATGTTCACCACTCATAGATATATCTAATCTTATAATTGCATAAATTGCATGTATATTTTATTGTCTTTGACTTGAAACCAATGAGGTCTGCGAGGTTCACATCTAAGTAATACCCACTCCCTGTGGTGAACTCAGGTTGCATGCACTTGGTAGAGAACGAAAGTAAGAAAAACATTATTAAAACCCTAGGAATTAAAAAGAAAGTGAAGAATGAAACTGATAAGAAACCAACCTAATATGTCTTTTACTTGAGTCTTTTGGCTTCTTGAGAGTGCTTCAGTTGATCCAACAACAAAAATTGAAGAACAAAGGGAAGAGAAGGAGAAGAGTGAACTATGGCTTGGAGAGAGCGTGATGACTGAAGGGAGGGGAAAGACTACGGAGAAGAAATGGCGTGACAGTATTTCAAGTTATTTTCAGAATTTTAAAATTTTCATTAAACTTCAGTGCAGACCTAATTTCCGCATAATCCAAAACCGAAAGCAGCTAGCTATTTTTACATGTTTTACCAAACCGGCTGGCCTTTTTAAATTTTCAAAATAATCACTTATGTACCTAAATAAGCAATACTAAACAGGCACTAAAAATAGTTGCCCTAATGTCAAACAGTGAAGTTCTAGTACAAAAGGATTTATCTACAAATCACCTGTAGTCCATATTCCTGGGCACATCACATGTACAAACACATCATTTGATGAACATTAATATCAAGACTACCTTTTTCTAGATCATTTTAATGTGAGGATTTAGGTTGTTGAACTTAAACTTAACGTGTTACCCTTAATCTGAAAACCAGGTCATAATCAACAAGACATTAGTGGATAATCGTACAGTGTGAGAATGATGAATAACAAACTTTCTTTTCAGCGCTCCTCTAACTTTACCCAATTTTCTTCCTTTTCACTTGGCGAATGCATCCATAGGAAACTACGAAAATCTGTCGTGTAATGTGATTCAATGGTTTTGAATAAGACGACTCCTCTCCCTTCATTATGCATATAAGTCATAAGCTCTACTCTTACAGTGGCGATTAGACAAGGTGGGGACAAAATTTGGGCATTGTGCTTTGGATTTAATCGCTTCAATTACACGGGAGCATTTTTGCTCACCACTTTAACTATAGGTGTACCTTCATCACCATCCTCAATGCTTGACACGTGTCAATAGGTATAATCATGATTCCATAAATACAAAGCAAAAATTAATTATGGTTATATCTATGGACACGTGTCAAGCATTGAAGATGGTGATGAGGGTACACCTATGATTAAAGTGGTGAGCAAAAATGCACCCTCAATTACACCACTGCCACAAAAAGAAAAAAAAAAATCTTTCAGACACAGAAACTGAAACAGGTTAAAAATTCAAATAAGATATGAGACAGATTCATGAGAATCCCTAATTAATGCCAATTCAGATTTTAGGGTTTAGTCAGTGTCTCTTTCTTTCACGTGTACCTTCCCCAGTAACGATGCCCATTTATTGGTGTTATTACAGAGCAAGGTTTTGGTGAATAGCAAAAAGATTCTCCTTTTTTTTTTTTTTTTTTTTTTTTTTTT